CCAAACGAGTTTCTTAAAAGATGAGACACCGAAATCAGTAAGCGACAAGATCCGTATTGGAAGAAGGTGCTTACGATTTGGGTCCAAAAACGTGGTTACATCAATAAGGTAAACAATAATTTGAAATATTAATTATATTTTAAAGTTTTGTTAAGCGTTTAGTTAGATTATTTATCTTGAGAAATCATAATATACCATAAGAATCTACAATTTTATCGACTGTCGGTTACGCCTTTTCAGAAAAAAAATTTTCGTTTATCTAACCGCCCTTTGGCCATTTCAAATACACTATGTCTTAAATTTGCCATAGAAAAATTACTAGTTAACCGACTTAAATAAGGTTTGAACCTAAATAAAATATATATTTACTTTGTTGTATAGTCTTCTTTTTTTATTATTTTAAATTTATATTTTGGTAGTAATATTATTTTAAAAAACTAACATTTGAGTGGCGCTTACTTCTTTTTTTAATGGTTTTTAGAATGGTTTCTCGGGGGCATAAAATAATAAATCTTACATTGCAATTCATTTTGGAGAATCAGGAAAGCAATGTGCAATACAGCGGAAATAATAAAAACCATGGTTCATTTTTCACTGAAAATGAGGTCCTCAATGAAGCGCTAAAGGATGATGATCTTTTAGAGCCTATACTAAAAGACCATGAACAAAAACTCCAAATGCCTAGTTCTGTTCTAGATGATGATGCCATTGTGGATTTCAGTTTTCCTCTAAGTTCAAATTTGAATATTGACAGCCGCTTATTTTAAAATAGTGATGAGACTGCCGAAGACGAGACTGATTTATTAACCTGTGATAAAAAGCTTGTACCTTACACAGATCGTGATCATACTGATGATAGTAATAATAATGCCGCAAGAGTATTTAGTCCATTAGTTGATGATAAGATAGGTTGTAATTATGTTATACAACATAAGGATTCTTTAAACTCCGAATCAGAATCATCGTACTTGACAGTATTTCTTAAAAATGAGACTGAAATTGACAGCATTAGTTCTAGCTCATCAACTGGTTCAATTTCTAGTAAAATATCAAGTAGTTCATCTCAAAGCACTCTACCTAAAGGTAGAGGACAAAGAACAAAAAAAGGAAAGTATTTTATTACGAAAGTTATTGTAATTATAAAAACGAACGCGTTGCTGAAAAACTTTTGCATCCTAATCCATGTTTAGGCAAAAAATGTGTCAATCAATGTAATAGCTTTAGCACTGAGCATAGCAAAATCGGGTTTGCTTACAATTCTTTAAAAATAATCTAAATATTAAACATTGGTACGGTATGCTATTAAAGGAAGAATTTAAGTTAACCGTGAAAATAGCGGGAAACATGAACTTAAACCTAAAATTACTCCAGAACAAATGTTACTATTTAAAGATTTTATTGAGGATCTTCCTGCTGTCCCCTCGCACTACTGTCGAGGGTTGACTAAAAAATTGTATCTATCAGCAGATACTAAAAGCATTTCAAATCTTTATAAAATGTACACTATTAAAATAAATGAAAATAATGGCATCCCCTTTAAATAAATATCTACTTTTAAAAAGTACTTCGAAAAAGATTATAACATTGGTATTCGTGTACCTAGAAAAGATAAAGGTTCCACATAAAAAATGGTACGTTTTAATAGTTTTTGTTGTTTTTTGAATAATCTTTCAGTTTATCTGTATAATCTTTCTTGTTATACTTAATATAACGTGATAATTATAATAACTTAATTTTTGTATGATATTTTGTTAGGCCAATATAACTCTAAGAAACTCATAAATATATTGTGTAAGTATTGTTTATTTTGTATTATTTTTACTTAATTGTTATGCTTTAAAATGAAAAGATTTATTCTCCATTTTTGTTATAATTCCGTAAAATTAAAAGGCGTACAAGTTCCTAAGCGACATTTTTTGATCAAAATATTTTTTCCAAATATGGTAACCGCATTTCAAAGAGGCTTAAACACCACAGAACCTAACATTAAAGGCGTAAGCACCAAAATGTTAAATGTCTCATGTTTATAATAATTGTTTTATAACTAACATATGGTAACTCAAAATGCCTCAGTTCAGTAATAATAAAACGCCAAAAAAATGTAAAAAAATAAATATTAAGCGATAGTAAACGTTTTTTGTGTCTCCTGAAAAAAACTGTTAATGGCGCTTATGCCTTTCTGTCGTGACACCGTCGATATCGAAAATATGCTTGGCGTTCAGCAAAGCACATTATCCGGTGTTTTACAAAGATTTACAAGACTAAAGGTCGATTCAGACACATCAGTCCCGTCACAGTCTCGGCGCCGAACCGGTCCTGTTTGGTCACAGAACTATTAATTATTTGACAGCTGGGAAACTGTTCGTCGCCTGATGAATGTGAATGCCGGCGCCATCTTTCTATTAAAGAATATTTTGTATGACGGATTGTTCGGTTCGGCGCCAGGACTGTGACGAGACGTGACTGATGTGTCTGAATGGACCTTTAGTCAACAAACGCGCCGTAAAAATGGGTTTCTTAGACATTAAATACTTCGAGAGCGGACAGTTACTGCTACAGCTTTGGCTAGAGAGAGACTAGGACACTGGTAGATGTTTATGGTACCGTAGCTTAACCGTACGTCGAAGATTATGCAAACAAAATTTGTATGCTTATGTACCTGTTCTGACCCTTTATTAGACGCAGCACATTGAAGACAACGCTTGGAATTCTATCGTGCTCATGCAAATTGAAATATGGAACATTGGAGAAACGTTCTGTTTACAGACGGATCTTGTTTTACGAGATATTTACCTGATGGCTGCCAAAGACTGTGGAGAAGGTCTGGAGAATGCTGATAGTTACATTATGGAATGTTTAGAATAATGTGTTTCCTTACATGCATTTTGAAGGTGAAAATTTTTTCCTAATACAGGATAATCCTCAGCTACACATAGCCAAGATGACAATGCAATACTTTACAGATGTTGGTATTCATTTTACTAGCCTGGCCATCTAGAAGTCCAGACCTTAACCCAAAATTAGGGCGAGTTTGAGACTGTGGTAGCGTTAAAACAGGCGCTAATAAACGAGTGGGAACAAATAAAGCAAATCGAGATTTTTGCTTTTATGGTTTATTATTGAACATACAAAAAAAATAATTAAGATTGAATTGTTTCTAATACATTTTATTCTACTTAAAATAAACTTGGTGTCCGGTACTTTTACGGGTCAGTGTATTTAGTAAATTCTATAAGTTTCGCCCCTCTCAGTTTAAATATGACTAAGCGGATAGTAGTATAAATCAAATTTTAATCACTTTAATAGAGCTAGAGGCCGACAAAACCTACTCGCATAAAAATGTAGTTATCCTAACAAGATAATAGTATAGAATATATTAAAATGACTTTGTAAATTTATTTGCATGTACTAGCTAAATGGGTATTATATTTATATAATGCTATCATAAAAAATGTACACAATTACGAGTAGTTTACATTTTATGAATAATTTTACAGCATGTAAACTACTGCTATCAGGAATGATCTATACTTTTAACTCCAAAGAACCACCAAGACTAACAACAGAATATTCAAATAGCATTACTGTGCTCTACAATTACATATTTGAAACGAAAAAGTCACTATAGACAACGTCAATTCAGTGTTATCATTGTCAATATGACTGGCAAAGGGTAAATACAAATTTCAAAGTTCTCCGCGAATTTTCGTGGAAGACCTAAACACAGTTCATTCCTATATATAGTGAAAACCTGATGAGAAAAATCAACTCAAATATAAATGTTAAATGTTTTTTAACCAAATATATGTGTAATTTATAAGTCGGTTCGCTAATCTTAGTCCCAACTGTCTAGTCATTGATATAATATACTAAGCATGAAACGTATTGCTATGTTTGGTTACATGTAACTGATAGACGACGGAAATGACTTTACATTACTAACTACAATGTCAGACGTGATTTTGACAGTTGACACTAACTTGGTGCCAGACACACTGGCTTCACACCTTTCGATGCTATTATTTTTGCAGGTTTTTGAACTTTAGTTACCCCGGTTTCATCTAAGTTTGTAAATTATATTGTTTGTTCCAAGATTGTTCCTATTTAATACATTAGAGTAGAGTACGGATGGATCTCATTGTGGCGTTTTAAAAAATGTGTTAGCCAGTCAGCAGATGCAGTCTTAAATTTGGTCCAGTTATCAGGAACAATTACATTATTTTTTAAAACAAACTGAAAAGTATCTTTTGGGGAATTATGTTTTGTTATAATATGGTTGGTTTAGTTTTAATATTTGTTTGGTCAGATCTGCTCCTCCGTATTTTAGAAGTTCGTTCGGTATTCTGTTCTCTCCTGGTGATTTTCTAATTTTTAATTCCCTTAATGCTTCCTTTACCTCTTCGTCCTCAATATTTATTTCTTTGTTTTTCGTTAGCTCTGGTGTTGGTGGTTCATAATCATAATCGTCTCCTTTAGCAAATAGAGATGGAAAGTAGTCTGTCTATGTTTCTTTCTAAATCTCTCTCGTTTTTATTAGTTCATCTCTTTTTTTTGTCCTTTGATCATTCTCTATATTTCTTTTTGCGTTCCGTAGAAGTCGTGTTATATCTCTTTTGAGAAACTCTGCCAGTCTCCATTTTTTATTTGTCTAACTGAAATATTCGTTTCATTTCTGATTTGTTGATAGTGGTTGTATGCCTATTGTGTATATCAACAAATTTAATGTAACCAATTTTAAAAGCTGTTTAAAACCGACCACTAATAATAATATATAAATAAAGTCAACATCGCATAACATACATGTCGTTAAATAAAAGGCATAATTGAATTGGAAAATTACTGCATGTGTGCGGAAAATTTATGGTCATAAATGTATAAATCTTGTACATACCATATAAAAATATTTTAACAAAATGACATTAGTAATAAATGTGTATAAGATATTAGTAATAGTGTGCTTGTAGGATATTGCATTTCTAAATATGTTTTTTTTGTTTTAGGATATATGACACCAGAATGAATCTATTCCAGTTTGCTATTTTCTTAGGATACTTTAGTATTGGATACTGCTACACAAGTAAGTATATCGAGACAGCAGACTTAGTAAAACTCAGGTTTAATTTAAATAAAAATATATCCGAAATAAATAAATAACAAAATAAAATAATATATGTACCAAATGTAAATGTTAATCTTAGGAACCCTTTCAGTACGGGGCCTTTTTTATTATACTTTCCTTACCGCTGGCACATTTTGGATTGTGTCTGTGCCGAATGACGTGTATGACCGTCACCGTAATAAAAGTTTAAAAAACAGTCACAAGGGAAATCATACAGTAAAAAAACTTTATTTCATAAGAAAAACCAAAGATTTAAATGGTAAATGCATAATAAAAAACTCAGGACTAAACTAAAAGGAAATAGAAATAAAAAGTTAACTTTCAAAAATCGGCTAATTGGTGATAAATCTTAAAACAGGGCACTACACATAGCCTAACATCACACTCTCTACATATATAGCTACTTTCCTTTCTCTTCTTTTGTCCTGCCTTTATCTGGGAGCAAACTCTGCATCTCCTAGTACCGCTTTTTCCCACTTTCCTTGGAACCAATTCCGAAAAATGCCGTTCTCTCAGTCTTGAATTCTCTTGATCAAAATGAACTGGTTGTGCCCTAATTGCTGCATATCTGAAACAAATATTTTTATTAGAAAAGTTGATTGCCAAACTTAGTGCTTTAAAATACCTTTCCAACAACTTCCGAATAACTTGTAAGTGAAACTTTGCAACTGGAATCTTTTCTGCGTGTTGCGACAAAAACATTGCGTGGGCATTTAGTAAGGTAACATCCAACGAATGAAATAATAGCTAGACATACCATTTGATTGACTTACGAGTGCAATCAATACTACTTATCATCATATTGTTCTGAAGCTATTTTCTTGTGGCATTGTAAATTAATTACTATTTAACTGGGAATACGCCACAATTAAAGATATAAAAATACGTTTATTGACGTTTCAATTTCCACTTCGGAAATCGTTCTCAAAATACAAACAGTAAATTAAACAAATTTTGTTTTTTGATACATAGTGAAAAATTGTTCTAATAATTTAATTTTATCTGACTCATTTATATTGACAATTCAGACATGCATTATGCATTTTAAAGTAGACGACTTTAAAATGATATATTTAAAATTTATAATGACTTTATATATTGATATTATATATTTATAGAAGATTTTGAAACAAATATCATTTCTAAACAAAATTTCAAACCCACGGTATGGTGGAGGTATGTAGATGATGTATTCTCAATATGGCCTCATAGATCAGAGTTGTTGGACACATTCCTAAATGATATAAACGATAAAGAAGAGACAATAACATTTACCATGGAAAAGGAATATAATAACACGCTACCTTTCCTGGATGTTTTAATCTCTAAGAACGATACTGGATATGAGACTCAGGTGTATAGAAAAAAACACACACCCATAGATATTTAAATTTCAAATCAAATCACAATATTAACGTAAAAAAGGGAATAATTAAATCCTTATACGATAGAGCCAAAATTACTTGTTCTAACGAAAATTCGTTCTCGAAGGAGAAACATTTGTTAACATCTGTTTTATTAAAAAATGATTATCCTTTATCGTTTATAAATAAGGAATTTTCAACAATCGATCGAATAGAACAGAACAACTTAGAACGAGATCCTACAGCATACACAAGGAATAATATGAGGAAAATAACAATACCTACCGTACATAAAAAAATTATCAGAAAAACTTAAAAGGATAGGAAATAAATTCAACATTTCAACAACATTCAAAACAACAAACACGTTGAGATCTATTTTGTCCAAAACCAAACCTAACAATGAACAAGAAAAGACAAAGAATTACATTTATAAAATACCTTGTGAATGCGATCAGTTTTATTTAGGTGAATCATCAAGGCCATTAAATGTTAGAATAAGTGAACATCAATCTTATATTAAAAATAGAGAATTTTATAGATCTCAACATCTTTATTTTATAGATCTTTATAGATCTTTATGATAGAACATAGGGCTCAATGGAATAATTTAAATGTAGTCCTAAAAGAAACGGATGGTAAAAAAAGAAAAATCAAAGAAGCGGCTCTAATTATGCTAAATGAGGCCAATTGTATCGCAAATTCCTCGGCAGAATGTAGTAGGATCTGGTTAGCAATATTGAAAGAGGAAGTTATTAATAAGAAAACACCAGTATTAGTAAGTCAGTAACATATAGAGGATACATCATTTATGTTTTTTAAATAACGTAACATATAAAATCAGAATTTTGATGTTTGTTGAAGGTAACCTAAATTCACGAACAAATACACACAATGTTGGGATAGTATTATGAGGTTTTTTCCTGGTTTTTCCCTCATAATTTACTATGGAATCACTAACAGGAGAATTTTACTGTCATCATGTCATGTGTTTGCCTTTTTAAAGACGAATTACATGCTATGATTTTTTTCTGACGAATATTCTCAAGTTAAAGTTGATTTCATGTAATCGAATGAATTATCTTATAAGTAAAGTCGTCCCAGTAGCGCAACTCAACAATATTGGCAATATCATTTTAAAGTCGTCTACTTTAAAATGCGTAATGTATGTCTGAATTGTCAATATAAATGAGTCAGATAAAATTAAATTAGTAGAAGAATTTTTCACTATGTAACAAAAAACAAAATTTGTTTAATTTACTGTTTGTATTTTGAGAACGATTTCCGAAGTGGAAATTGAAACGTCAATAAACGTATTTTTATCTTTAATTGTGGCGTATTCCCATATGCTTGTTATTCTCTACAACGCATAGAGGTTTCTTTATGTTTTCCTTTGTAATTCTTCTTATGAAAATGTGTCTAATGTCACGTTCGTCTAAGCATAAGCCACAAACTGGAATCTTGTTGCTTACTCTTTTGGCCACGTGTTGGATTTTCCTAGGTACCGGCACGCTCTTCCGTCGACATTTCGAGTAAGATTAACACCAGCAAAAAATGCGAGCATGATTCAGACAATCTGCCGCCGGTCGTCGTATATTTTCGGCATCACCGAAATATTCCGCCGTCCGGTTATGCGGTCAACTTAAAGTTGACTTAAGATTACGACGATCATCTGTGATGAAACGAAAGTTTCTGAAGGTGTATCGATAAGGCAGTAGGCCAATGGACACGATTAAACAATGTCGGATATATACGTCAGTCGGTCGGTAGGTACATTCTTTAACTGACGGATAAATCCGTTGGCCGTACTGAAATGGTTAATGGCGTTATATGATGACTCACTGTTTAATACCTGAAAAAAATCAAATATAATTTTGTCATAAAAATGGAAACGAAAATATGGTGTGTATGCACACACACTCTGAAGAGAAGAAATGATGGGTTAGAGGTGGATGGATTGAGCGATGAAGAGCTGCCACTAGATCAACACTCTAGTAGAACTGGTTGGCCTTCGATAAACACTCTAGAGTCAGTGGAGTTGTTCCCAGATAAACACTGTGATAGAACTTCGGACGGTTGGCCTTCAGTCTACACGCTAGGCCCAATGGAATTGTTTCCAGATCAACGCTCTGATAGAACTCGATTCCCTCGTGTGGCGGCTCTTGTTGTATACGGTTGTCGATCTTCCAAATCCTTTAGCGCGCATCGATAGAAGTGGAACTTAGCGATGGGAGTGTGTATGTAACATACCGTTACACAGTAGCAATTAATGGTATTATCATTATTCAATATAAAACTTATTTCAACACACAAAGTATGTACAAATTAATTCTTTATGTATAAATATTTCGGAGTAAAGCAATCGTGTAAAGTGTTTATTTGGTATTGTTAAATAGACTGAAACGTATATAGAAAATCTTTAGCGGAAAATACGAACACATCTCACAAAAGCTTAAAATCACAATTCTCGTAGGGCAGTGGAAAGAACGGAATTACCACCTTATTTAGAAGGAAGAGGACGTATGGATATTGGTGAGCAATTAGAAAAACTGATTGCTAGGTAAATGATTGGCTTTAGGCAAAGAAGGCCAAGAGAATGATGATGATTAACTTTTCTGAGGTGTTATTATTTCCCTCTGTGTTATTTAATTACCCTTTATGTGATTAATTATTGACCATACTATTCTAGCTTTGTTGTCAAATTGTCCTATTTTTTGTTTTTTTTTTCCATTAGTTTGTGTTAAAATTCTTTCATAATTACTTTTTTCATTATTGTAATCTTGTCTAAATCTGTTATTATTCTAACAAATGGTATAAAGGACATAAACTTTTCTCTTTGCGACCATTACTTTACTTCTTCACCCCTTATATCATTTTTCCTTGCGATTAAGATAAATGTTGTTAATAAAACACCCAAATTAAAATTATGTACAAATATTTTATAAAATCTATTCCATAACTCATTTGCATCATCGCTCTCATAAATATTATTCCAATATGTTAATGAAAACTGATTCTGATAATCTTGTTTATTAAAATTTAGAAGCCTTTTTCAGTTGCAGCCTTTTTTGCCTACTGATGTAGAATCCTACTTAACGCTTTCCACTTCTTTTTCATTGAAACTATTAGTCCGTACCCATGTTTTTCTTTGTCATTTTTTTACTAACCACTGTTTTAAAATTTTCTCGTCTTCACGTTCTTCTGAACGGATCTTCGCTAGCATTTTTCTTTTCTTCACTATTTTGCCTTTATTCGAGGTTTCTTCTTACCCTGTTTATGGTCTATGAATATATTTTCTACATTTTCTTATACAGAAAAAAGCATAAATTTATTTGGAATAATTCATGTGAGACAAATTTCGACAAATTAAAAGAGGAAATTGCGAGTAATCAAGTTTTGATTCCATATGTTCCAAACTGGCTCATAATATTAGCTTGTGATGTAAGTAGAACTGGTGTTGCAGTAGCACTATCTCATTATATTGATGGTAGAGAAAAGCTAATCGCATTTGCTTCAAGATCTCTCACCAAATGTGAACAAAGTTATAGTTAATTAGATAGAAAAGCGCTTGCAAGTATATTTTCAGTAAATCAC